AGGTGGGGCTGTTCACCTCAGAGTTCTTCCCAGTGCAGGTCATGGGCAGCGGGTTAGAGGATACAGCTAAGTCAACCCGACTCTCTCCCTGGGGAATTTGAATCTTGAGTGGAATTTGAATCCCAGTCTTCTCTCTGATGTGACTCCAGGGTTGATGCACATCTGACCCTAATCCGGGACTGTGAGTCCTTTTGCAGAATTGAAAGTCTATGTTTGTGGCTTAAACAAAGGGACTATGTTGGAGTTTCGGGCCCTACAGGGACAGGAATGAATGCAGCTAGCTGTGGAAAAGGGTATGTGGTGTGTGTGTGTGTGTGTGTGTGTGTGAGAGAGAGAGAGAGAGAGAGAGAGAGAGAGAGAGAGAGACCAGGGACAGGAATGCAGCTAGCTGTGGAAAAGGGTATGTGGTGTGTGTGTGTGTGTGTGTGTGTGAGAGAGAGAGAGAGAGAGAGAGAGAGAGAGAGACCAGGACCTACAAATCCATCAAGAAGCCAGGACGTGGCTGCCATTGCTTCTTCACACCTGGCTGATCCATTCTTCCTTCCCTCTGCAGACCAGCTTTCTCCATTTCTTCATCAATACACAAAAAACTGCTTTCCAGGCTTCCCTAGTTCTGATGCTGAGTGGGGTGTGGTATAGTTGCTCTGGGAATTCTTTGACTTTGCCAGAGAAAAGAATTTCAGAGTGAGTTCAAAGCATAGCATAAAATAATTTATTAGAAAGAAAAAGTCACACTCAAGGAAAGGGTGGGTGCCTTAAGAGAAAGGGCACATACTTGCTTTTGACAAGAAGCTTGATGTACTTTTATAACAGTGATTAAGCAAACCACGAGCTAAGAGCAGAGGGCTGCAGGCATCTGGTCATGAGTTTCAACCTTCTAAAGTCATAAGAACCTTCTAAATAATGAAAATTATTGTCTAATTAGATGTGGGCTTTTTTTTAGAACATCACGTCTCTGTTTTGGGTAATTTCCCCATCATTTCTGTGATTTACTTTACAGGTAGTTCCACATTCCAACCCACAAGCTGGTCAGGCCTGATATGCCTGATTGGTCAGGAGAAGGTCATGTGTGGATAATGGTGATATCTGAATGCTTACCCTATTTGAATTTAGACCTGCCTGCAAAAAACTCATCTATGTCTAAAGTACACTGGCTAAGCCGGGCTCGGTGACTCAGCCTGTAATCCCGCGCCTTGGGAGGCTGAGGTGAGTAGATTGCCTAGCCCGCGGGTTCGAGACCCACCTGGGCAGGCGAGACCTCATCTCTACAATAAATCAAAAAAATTAGCTGGGCGTGGTAGCGCACGCCTGTAGTCCCAGCTCCTTGGAAGGCTGAGGCAGAAGGATCGCCGGAGCCCAGCAGGTCAAGGCTGCGGTGGCCAGAAGCGGCCACTGCACTCCAGTCTGGGCTACAGAGTGAGACTCCAACTCAAAATAAAATAAAATAAAATAAAATAAAAAATAAAGTACACTGGCTAAACTTCCAGTTCCATGTTTCAGACCAGCTTGAAAGTGGACTATTGGGTACAAGTCTATATCCCAGGAGAGGGCTTTGGGTCGGATGTCCATCCTTTGTTCAGACCCTTGTGGTAGGAAACAAAGACGGCTTATTTACTAACTTGTCTCCCAGAGGTTGCCCTGTGCATCTGGGGCAGACCTTGGAGAGGAAGATGGGGAGACACCCAAGAGCAGTTCTACAGCCACTGTGCCCTCAGTGGAAAGCGGGGGAAGACACAACACCACCCTAAGTTCCATCCAGAAGTTGGACTTGACCAGGGAGGATTCTGCTTTTTTCTTTCTAGGTCCGGTAGCTACATTACATACAATAAAGTACTCAAATCTTAATTGCACAGCAAGGTGAATTTTTATATATGTTATCAATATTCCACATCAAGATTTAGAACAGTTCCATCACTTTAGAAGGTTCCCTCTGGGCGGGGTGCATTGGTCCATGCCTATAATCCCAGAACTTTGGGAGGCCAAGGTGAGAGAATTGCCTGAGCCCATGAGTTCAAGATCAGCCTGGGTAACTTGGCAAGATCTCATTTCTACAATAAATCAAGAAAAATTAGCCAGGTGTGCATGCCTATAGTTCCAGCTGCTAGGAAGACTGAGGTGGAAGGATCGCCTGAGCCCAGCAGGTCAAGGTTGCGGTGGCCATGAGTGTGACACTACACTCCAGCCTGGGCGAGAGTGAGACTCCAACTAAAAAAAAAAAAAGACTCCCTCATGTTCCACTCCTAATCAGTATCTGTCCCTGGGTTACCAATCTACAGATTCTCATCATGAGTTAGTTTTGCCTCTTCTTGAACATTCTTGTAAATGGAATCACACAGTATTCTTTTGTCTATAGCTTTTCTCACTCAATATTATTATGCCTTTGAGATTAACCTATATGACTACATGTAGGAACCAGAACTTGGTTCTTTTCTGAGAGGAAAACCCAAAGCAAAACTCTTTAGATAAGGGGAGGAGATTCTTAAACTCTGAGATTTTGAGACAAAAAATACTTAATATTCACTTACATTTTAGAAGCACAGACTCTTAGCATTCTCTTTGTTACATACTTTGTTTGTAATGGAAAATATTCCAGTCTTTTTCCTCTGCGATGTTGCCCATGCCCAGCTGGGAACAGGGCTGATACATTTTCCAGCTCTATTCACAGAAAATAAAATTGCTCTCTGCTTCCTTCTCCAGCCTCCCGTCTTGACTCGTGAGAAGGGAATAGTGATTACTCTCCCTGTGGCTCACCTCACAGAGATATTGAGAGAATGAGGAGCAGCGGGCAGAGAAAAGAGGAGGAGGGACCAGGATGAGCACACGGAGAAAGTGGTTTCAAACACTGAGCTCCATAAAAGTGAGGAAAGACAGCGTTCTTTCATCAAGGGCATCTCTGCTTCTTTGGAACCAAATGGGTTTCTCTCGTGTACAGGCCTGCTGGTGGGTTCCTCCAGCTGTTCCCCTATAATCCACACCCAAGGTCTGTAAGGGTGAGGGGAAGGGAGTTGGATTAAATGGGCTGAGCACCTACTATGTGCCAGGAACTTTGATAGGGGTTTCACATACATGATCTCACTCCATCGTGACCTGGTGCCACCATCCTTAGGTAGCTAAGAAAACTGAGGCGTGGGGAGCTTAAGAAGTTTAAGTAACTTATCCAGGGTCACGTAGCTAGCAAGTGCTGAGTCTGAAAGCCGGGTTGGTCCGGATCAAAGTTGTGCCAGAGGCAACCCAACCTGGGCCCTCACGGTGGAGTTGTCCTCCACTTCCTGGGTTGGGGGAAGGACAGGGGCCTCTGGCTGCCATGGCCAGTCCTTCAGGGAAAGCTGCTCTGTTCCCACACCCGAGCACACTCCGGCAGCTGTGCCCTTCCCAGACTCCAGCCGCTGGTCCATCTGAGACTCAAGAGACCTACTCGTTCCCAGCCAGGGTGAGCGACCGCTCCTGCTTACGTGTGATCTTGGGTAGGGGGTAGAGTGAGTGGAGGCCTTCACGAAGGGGTGATCTGAGGCTGGAATTGCAGGTGCTAAGTGAGGTAGAAAAGAAAGGAGAGAGAATCGTTTGAGAAGGACCTCCTAAGGGCCCCAAATCACTCCTGCAGGTCGCCCCCTGCGTGAGGGCAGAGGGAGGTGCACCAGCACACCCACCCTGGTCAGAACTGGTCAGTCCCAGGAACCTGGGCCTGCCCTCAATTCACCCCAGGGGCCTGAAGGAAGGTTGAGGGGTGGGAGCCTGACACTGCCAGACACCTGGGTTTGGGTGGGGCCAAAGTCAGAGTCTAGTAACATAACGTAAGGAGGCATTCACACCTCAGGGGCCTCCTGCCTCAGCCTCAGCCAGATCTGCCCAGGAGCTCAGGACACCAAGGCAGCTACACTCACCCACTGCCTGCATGGGCCAGGGCCTGTTCCAAAGCACTATCCATATGGGAATCTTGTTTTTTTTTTTAGTCAGAGTCTCACCGTGTCACCCAGGTTGAAGTGCGCATGATCATGGCTCACCGCAGTCTCAACCTCCTGGGCTCAGGTGATCCTCCTATCTCAGCCTCTCGAGTACCCAAGAAGCTGGGACTACAGGCATGCGCCACCATGGCTGGCTAATTTTTTTAATTTTTTGTAGAGATAAAGTCTTGCTGTGTTTCTTAGGCTAGTCTCAAACTTCTGGGCTCAAGTGATCCTCCCACCTTGGCCTCCAAAAGTGCTGGGGATTACAAGTGTAAGCCACTGTGCCTGGTCAAATATATATATATATATTTTTCTTTCTTTCTTTTTCTGAGTAGGAGTCTCACTCTGTCATTCAGGCTGGAGTGTATCGGCACGCTCACAGCCACCTCAGCCTCAACCTGCTGAGCTCAGGCGATCCTTCTGCCTCAGACTTCCAGTAGCTGGAACTACAGGCATGCACCACCACACCCCGCTAACTTTTTTGTCTCTTTTTAAAAATGTATTGTAGAGACGAGATCTCATCAAGTTGCCCAGGCTGGTGTTGAACCCCTGGGCTCAGGCAATCCTCCCTCCTCTACCTCCCAAAGTGGTGGGATTACAGACGTGAGCCACTGTGCCCAGCCAAATATAGTCTTGTAATTGTATATAGTTATGTTTACACAAAATATTTGTACACATGTATTTGTATGTAAATTAAACCCTCACAACTCTTGAAGTCATCCTCAGTTGACAGACAAGGAGATTGAGAGTCTGAATAGTTAGGACAGTTGGATGTTTGCCCAGCGAATAACTTGTACAGCTAAAGGTGTCCAAAATCCACACTCTTAATCATGATGCAACACACGGTAACTGCCAATCCCCCACCCCCCCAAAAGGCCACCAGGTGCTCACCTTATCAGGACCCCCCACCCCCAGCAAACTGGCCACAGCTGCACCTCTGCTCACGGCAGAACTTACAGGAAGCAGGCGGGCCACCTGTGAACAGGGCTCTTTTTATAGCCCCACCACCCCGGCTGGCTCTGTCTTCTGCCACCCACACCAGCTGTCCCACTCGTCATGGAGAAGGTTCTGGTCCTCCTGCTCATTGCCCTCTCGGTGGCCTATGCGGCTCCCGACCCCCGGGGAATCATTATCAGCCTGGTAAGAGGATCTTCGGGGAGAGGTCTGAGTCCCCCCGGTGAGGATGTTGTAAGCTTGGACCTTGACCTCTTGGGTCCCCACCTGGGCTGGAAGAAGCAGCATCTCAAGTCTCTTCCTCCACTGCCTTGTCCTGGAAAAGGCTGACCAGCCCCTCCTGAGTCCCCACAGGAGTATGTGCAGAGCAGAGGTTCATCCTGGCTATGCGAGGGAGCTTTATAAAAACCCAGAGCCCTGGGCTCCCGCCTGGAAACCCTGACTCGGAAGGTCCAAGGCTCTAAAAGTCTTCACCAATGATTCCAGCTTCTGACTTAGAGCAGCGCCCGACTGTGCTGAACGCCTCGGGCTGTTTACTCATTTAGTCCTCATGAGAACCACTGAGGGAAGCCCCACCACTTCCAGCCCGGCTTTAGAGGGAGGGAGGCTGAGCAACCTGTCTGAGGTCACACAGCTGGGGAGTGAGCGAGCTGGGGCTGGGCTCGGGTTAGTGCTCCCACCACAGCCCCACACTGCCTCTCCACCAGATGGGCAAGCCCCTCCAGGCCACCCTCCCAGTCCAAAGTTTCTTAACTTGGAACCATGAGTGAGCTTGGAGGTCCAGGACCCCCTTGAGACCATATCTAAAAGCCTGTGTGAGGAGGGAGGAGCCTTGCAGGGAGATGGTCCTCAACTTTGCAGCCTCCTCAGAGGAGCGTGGGAGCCAGTGGAGTCTGAAGAGCCTGCTTGGGGGCTGCATGTGCACATTCCAGATGGGGACACCAAAGCCAGGGGCAGTGACTTGCCCAGGGTCACCCAGGGAGCTGGTACTAAAACCCGAGGGTCCTAACCCCCTGCCCAGTGCTGCTTTTCTGTTGCTACATGCCCACTCCTCACATGGGGGGAGGGGCACAGAGACCACCAGACACAGAGGTCGGATTCCATCCCACACACCCCAACCAGGGAAGGGGAGGCGCTGCAGGCGCACATGTGTGTGTGTGGGGGGGGAGTCTGGGTGGAGAAGGGATGCGGGGGTTCTAGGCTGACTGGCTGCCCCCTGCAGGATGATGGCGAGCTCTGCATGAACAGCATCCAGTGCAAGAGCAAGTGCTGCCACCGAGTGAGCGGGCTGAGCCTGGCCCGCTGTGCTCCCAAGGCCAGCGAGAACAGCGAGTGCTCTGCCAAGGTGGGTGCTGGAGCTGGGCGGCGGGAGAGGAGTAGCTCAGAGGAGGAGGTCCCAGAGGCCTGGGAATAGAACTAGAGCAGAGGGTCAGCCTGGTCATTGAAGGTTGAGGAGATAAGACGGAGGGCAAAAGGCACCAAAGCACTTGCTCATCTCGTCATCTCTCTTGACCCTCAAACTGACCAGCAGCCAGATACAGGGGCTCACGCCTATAATCCCAGCACTTTGGGAGGCCAAGGCAGGAGGATCGCTTGAGCCCAGAGGTTCAAAACCACATGGGACCCTATGCCTGAAAAAAAAACAAAAACAAAACTGACCAGTGGGGTGGGTGGGGACAAGGATTTGTTATTCTCGTTTCACGGCTGGGTAAATAGAGGCCCTTCAGAGAGATCAAGTTAGTAAGAGCAAGTGGGCCAGAGTGGAGATCAGAACCTGGGTTTCCCAGGCCCACGGCATCCCCTGGGGAGGCAGTTAGAGCAACGCTATCTGAAAAGATAGACTGGGCTGGGTGCAGTGATTCACACCTGTAATCCCAGCATTTTGGGAGGCCGAGGCAAGAGGATGGCCTGAGTCAGGGAGTTCAAGACAAGCCTGGGCAACTTGGCAAGACTTTGTCTCTACAAGAAATAAAAAAAAATTAGATGGGTGTGGTGGCATGCACCGGTAGTTCCAACTGCCTGGAAGGCTGAGGTAGAAGGATCGCCTGAGCCCAGCAGACTGAGGTAACAGCATCCATGATCGTGCCAACTGCACTCCAGTCTGAGCAACAGAGTGAAACTTTGACTCAAAAAAACAAACAAACAAAAACTCACAGCCTGGCCTGCTGGTTCTCAAGGTCAGGCAGGGGGCATGTGATGCCCAAAGTAGCCCGCCATAGCCTGGGATGCCACTGGCTCCATTCCTCTGCAGACGCTCTACGGAGTTTACTACAAGTGTCCCTGTGAGCGTGGCCTGACCTGTGAGGTGGACAAGACCCTCGTGGGCTCCATCACCAACACCAACTTTGGCTTGTGCCTCGATGCCGGACGCGCCAAGCAGTGAGACACCCATGCTCTCCTGCACTTAGCCCCGCACGCCACAGGACACTAGGCCCAGAGCCTCCTTCCTCCTCCTCCACCCCTTCTCCTGGGCTGGCCACCTTCTCGACCGGCGCCTCCATCTCCTGGTCGGGCCCTTGGCAATTAAAGCTCTCCTGCAAACCTTCCCCAGCCTCCTGCATGTTCTTGCTGAGTCAGTGTCTTCCTTGAAGCTGCAGCAAGCCTCTCCCCACCAGGCCAGGCCTCAGGCCAGAAAAGTGAGAGGAGGGTAAGTCTGGGGACAGGAAAGATGTGGTGGAAGGAAAGGAGCCTAGAGACAAACAAAGCTATGAAAGAGGCCCAGACAGGCTGGGAAGCTCTCGATTTCTGGGGAGCCATCACACCTCCCTGGGATCCCCTTCTTGTCCCTAGAGTTCTCAGAGAGTCAGGCAAGTACGTGTATGTAGGCAGACACACACACAGCTCTGGTGAGGAGTTATAATGGTCCATCTTCATTGCCCTGCATCAGAACTTACCAGTTCCCAGCCGGGCTTGGTGGCTCACACCTGTCATCCCAGCACTTTAGGAAGCTGAGGCAGGAGGTTTGCTTGGGCCTAGAAGTCTGAGATCAGCCCGGGAAGCATAGCAAGATCTCTTCTCTACAAAATATCAACAAGTTAGCTGGGCGTGGTGGAACACACCTGAAGTCCCAGCTACTTGGGAAGTTGAGGCGGAAGGATCACCTGAGCCCAAGAGGCCAAGGCTGCAGTGAGCCATGATCATGCCACTGCACTCTAATCTGGGTGATCATGCCACTGCACTCTAATCTGGGTGACAGAGTGAGAACTTGACTTAAAAAAACAAAAACAAAAACTTACCAGTCCCGTCCTGGCACTCACCTCCTTCCTGGGCCCAACTCTCAGATGTGACATCTAACTGACACTGTTAAGGGGTCAGCCCACTAACAATGCTATGGGCCTACTCTGTACCAGCAAATCCTCACAACAATCCTGGGAGGGAGAACGTATCATCTCCACTTTATAGATAAAGAGACTAAGTTTCAGAGGTTAAGAAACTTGCCCGATATCACATACTCAGAAAATGTTGGCACTACACCCATCGAACTCCACCCCCTCTCCTTTCTATGATTCTTTTTCCTTTCCCAGTTATTTACACTAAGAAAAATGAGAAGAAATTGTAGGGAATTTACTTTGGTTAACATAAAAATTTCATACCCCCTGGAACCATCAAATGATTACTTTGGGCAGTACTAAGGTCCCCACCATCAAGGTATACAGGTTGGCTCTCACTGACCACTTGGTAGAGATGCCAGAGATGAGATTCTCACAATGAGTGGAGGATAGTGAACTGAATGAAATGTAGATGTCCTCCCAGCTCCAGGATTCTGTAGTTCTGTGATCCGTGAATCCCCTAATAACCACAGGCTTATGAGTTAGGACTGCATTCAGTTATAAGTAGCAGAAAAACCCATGTGGTTTAAACAAATAGGAGTGTACATTCCTCGTGAATCAAGAAGTCTAGAGCTAGGAAGGGCAGGTGTCTGTTTGGTGTCTGGCTGGCAGCTTTTCAGTTGTCTTGATCTTCCCTTCGGGTTGCCAAATGCCTTGGCAGCAGCTCCTAACATCACACCCCCTCACCGTATTCTAAGGCAGGAAGCCTGTAGTAGCACTGGGGAGGATGCGGAGATGAGGAGCAGAGTGCTTCTTCTGGCTACCTTCTTCTTATCTTTCCCAAAACCCTCCAGGCAGACTTCTCTGATGTCTCAATGGCTAGAACTGGGTCATCTGTCCGTTTCTAGCACGAAGGAGGCTGGGAAAGCAAAGGGAGTAAAATGGCCATGACTGGCTTAAACTAATCATGATCCCTTTCCTGAGACTGCCCAAACAATATTGGGGTACAGTCAGCAAGGAAGGGCAGGCAATAGTTGTTACAGGGAAACCAGGTAACAGTGCCTAACATATGTGAGTTAGTGTTCAATAAGAGGGGCTTTCAATACCTTAACCCAGTGGAGGTGAGAGTGAGGTCACATTTCTTGGTGCCCAGACTCAGTCCTGGGGGAGAGCTGCATAATGTCGTCTCCATATATCTACTGGATTACCTTAGTGTGCCCAGCACTGTGTTTTGGACTGTAAGGGACACAAGGAAAAAGTCTCTGGTTTCCAAAAGTGAGTACGGAGTTGGGCTCTACAGAAGCGAGAGGTTGAGACCCCAAGCATCTGTTCCCCTGTATTAAATCCTTTCTACTTGAAATACCTGGAGTGGTTCTTGTTTTTCTTGTTTGTTTTGTTTTGTTTTTGAATTGGAGTCTCACTCAGTCTCCCAAGCTGGAGTACAGTGGCACGCTCATGGCCACCGCAGCCTTCACCTGCTGGGCTCAGACAATCCTTCCGCCTCAGCCTTCCAAGTAGCTGGAACTACAGGTGTGCGCTACCATGCCTGGCTAATTTTTTGATTTTATTATAGAGACAAAGTCTTGCCAAGTTGCCCAGGCCGATCTCGTTCCCCTGGGCTCAGGCAATCCTCTCACCTCGGCCTCCCAAAGTGCTGGGATTACAGGCCTGAGCCACCGCACCCGGCCAGTTCTTGTTTGTCTACGCTGAATTTGACTAATACAAGCCTGCCTGAAAGAAGGGGAGCATTTTGTTGTTGTTATGGTTGCTGTTGTGGTTGTTGTTCAAAACCACTTTCCTCTCACTAACCCCTGAGCCCAAAGGAGTCACCTTTTTCTAATGCACATAAAGATGTCCTACAGGCAGTAGCCTTGTCACTGACATGTTCTACCTTATCATCCTAGTCCCAGGAGCTCCCCATCATGTAACTTCTTTCTAGAGCTGATAGATATTCAGTTACAGAAACAAAGATATTTGCAACCTTGAGTCCATAAAAAATGTGTAATGAGCCGGGCTCGGTGGCTCAGCCTGTAATCCCGCGCCTTTGGGAGGCTGAGGTGAGTGGATTGCCTGAGCCCGCGGGTTTGAGACCCGCCTGGGCAGCAAGACCTCATCTCTTCAATAAATCAAAAAATCAGCTGGGCATGGTAGCGCATGCCTGTAATTCCAGCTACTTGGAAGGCTAAGGCAGAAGGATCGCCGGAGCCCAGCAGGTCAAGGCTGCGGTGGCCGGGAGCGGCCACTGCACTCCAGTCTGGGTGACAGAGTGAGACTCCAACTCAAAAAAAAAAAAAATGTGTAATGCTGGACCTGTAGACCCACGCTGTCTGACATAGGAGCTATTAGTCAGCCATACGTGACTGTTGAGCACTTAAAATGTGGCTTGTCCAAGCTGGCATACGTGGAAAACATAAACTGGATTTTGAGAACTTATTACCACTAGAAGAATGCAAGATGTCTGAAATATTTTTCACATGTTGAAATGATAACATTTTTTATTGGATTATAACATAGATTATCAAAATTGATTTTGGCCGGGCTCAGTGGCTCAGCCTGTCATCCCAGTACTTTGGGAGGCCAAGGCAAGTGGATTGCCTGAGCCCGCAGGTTCGAGACCAGCCTGGGCAACTTGGCAAGACC